GAGCGCAGAGTGGTGCGGAGCCCCACGTGTGGCTGGAGCTCACCACGATAAGCTGGTTGTTTTCCCCTCTCCTTTCCCCTTCTGGCGCTGCGCTGGGCTTATCTGGGCGCCTGAGTTATGTTAAGTAGCGGGTGCATGCCTGCTCTCTGTTCTCCTCGCTGCTTTTGCTCCTTGGATTTCAATTCCAAACATGGTTATCCATTTGGGGTCTCTCTCCTTTCCGCTGCCAAGTGATACACATTCCATGCTCAACGCTAGCTCCCTCCGCTGCTCTCTCACAGTTGCTATTTCCAGTGCTGGAGGGCTGGCGAGAGAGGCAGAGCAACGAGACCTCTGTCCTGTCTGCGAGTTTTCCAGCTAATGGCCTCTACTTGTTCTTTGGCTGAGCTCTTTTGGCCTCATATTTGTCAGCTTCTTTTCTCACTGGTGTGGCTAAGGAGGGGGCTAGCCACTGATTTGTGAGCTACGAAGAGGAGAAGCAAACCCTTTGGGGATTTGGGAGGCACAAAAAACATTCGGTGACACTTTAACATGTTGCTTTGAAGCGTGCTACTTGTGGGACCGGACAGTGCTGAGGAGGAGGAGGAACAACCACCCAGCAGCTCTGGTTTCAGACCTCTGCAGCACCCTTTGTGTATGACAATTCATTTGGAGCGCAGGACGGCCGGGGAGGGTGGGGAGTGGGGAAGGATGAGCACAAGCAGCCTCTCTTTGGACCAGGCTCTTCTCCAGCCTCCGGTGTGCGATGCCTGGAAGGACATTATGGAAGGAGCAGCCTACCAGCTGGCCAGCTGCATCGTCCTCCTGGGTTACATGGGGGGAAGCGGCATCTTTGGGTCCCTCTATATCTTTGGCCTCCTGGCCCCAGGCTACCTCTGCTATGCTCTGTGGGGCTGGCTGAGCGCCTGCGGGCTGGATATCTTCGTCTGGAACATGCTGCTGGTCCTTGTCTGCGTGCTTCAACTGGCTCACCTGGCTTACCGGCTCCGCAGAGACACCATCCCACAAGAATTTGATCTTCTCTACAAGACCATGTACCTGCCCTTGCAGGTACCCCTGGAAGTCTACAAAGAAATCGTGAAGTGCTGTGAAGAGCAAGTCCAGTCACTAGTCAGAGACCAGAATTACGCAGTGGAGGGCAAGACACCCATTGACCGCCTCTCATTGCTGCTGTCTGGCAGGTAAAGACCCTCCTGTTCCTGAACAAAGTCTGACAGCAAAGTGCTGTACTTATTGCTGTATTTTCACCTTCTGTAGAAACTGGGGTGACAATTGTTTCCTTCCTCTGAAAGGGCTTTGAGATATGCATCTGTTTGTTGGGAAGAGGGGTAATTTGCTTTTGGGGATTGGTTTTGTTTTTCTAAAGCAGAATATTTCAGGAATGGTTTGTAGAATCAAGCTATGTGCAATGAAGCTGCCAGCTCAGCCTTGCTTGTGATGCTGTTCGGGTATCCTTACCTCCTTCTCTGTCATTTTAAAGTGATCTTATTTCTGATGGGAGCAGACCCGCTGTGAGAGAGTGTTTCTCAAGGCAGGAAGGTAGTGTGTCTGGACCCGTGGTCTCTGGGGCTACCAGGTACACCTCTGGGATGCGAACAGGTGTGCGCTGAGTGTGCTGAGTCCTCAGTTCACCTGCTTGCCCTGGCCAGTAGTGTTCAGGGAGAGGTTCCACCCCTGTTCCCAACACGTCAACCCTCAGGGCTCTGGAATTTTTCACTTTGGGGATCATTTTGTCAAAAGAGAGAGAGCTCTCCTGTGGTGGATCCTGCGCCATCAGGCCTCTTCCTTTCCCTGTACTCTCATGCATTCATGATGTTCCTTCCTCTGGACGACCAAAGAGGACCTCAGAGACCTCTAGATAGTCGCAGCTGATTGCATGGCAAGCCATGCACATTTGTTATTAATTTACTGGAGATTTGATTATTGAGTGAACTGTGCTGAGGAAGTACTGGCATTTGTTCACCTGAGATCCTGTGGCATGCCTCTGTGAACGTACCCCTTAGCGATCTGTAAAATCCAAATGCAAGACAAATAGTAATGATACTGGCTTCCCAGCTGCTGCCAGGCACTTGATGTGAGAGTGGGAAAGGAAGGAGATCTGTAAATGGGAGCAGTGCTGAGCTGTAGGAGGTGTGTCTCACAAGGATTTTCCTTAGGGAAGACAAACCCAGCATCACCTGTGGCTTGTGCTTTACTGCAGTGGTACGTCCTCTCTGGTGAGGGGGTGTGTAAAGAAGAAGGGCTGTCCTTCCTTTTTTTTTTTTTTGGTGTTTGTCCCTTTCCTAGGATATGCTAAGAGCATCCTGGGACCCCTGGCCAGTGCTGAATGGCAAAGTGCTGGGATGAAACTGGGTACATGTGTTTTCATTAGGTGTCTTTCCCCTTACCAAACACCTCTGCTGAGCAGTTTGCTCTGAAGCTTACCATACCTTCAACTAATGTTAGCTGGGAGAGTCTGTGCTGTCTTGCCCTGCACTGATGCTGCTCCATGGGCATGAAATTGCTGCAGCGGACAGTAAGCCAGTGCTGGTGGGGTAGTTGTTCTGCTCTCTTTTGCAGTGGGAAGTATGCGTTTTGACTGGTATAGGATGCTCTCTGGAGGTGGGATTGGATTTGCATCTCCTGGTACTTACTCCTTTGCCTTGTGAGGTCCTTGCTGACCCAGCAGAGCATTGCTACTATTAGGTGCCCTTCCTTAAACTGAACAATAGCAAGACAAAGGGTTCTTGCAAATGCAGGATGTGCCTGGATCAGGAATCCTGCCTTGCGATCCCTGACCCTTCCAGGCCACACTGCCCCTGACTGGAAATCAACAGCAAGCTGAGCCTTGCAACTCCTGAAAGCTAGAATTGCCTTTGTGCATTGTACAAGAGGGGAACGTGTCAACAGGGAGGCAAGAGGCCCCAAATCTGGTGGTGCAGAGCTATGAATAGAGCTTCAGAGTGCCCTGCCGTTGCCCCAGGCCTGTGCAGCTCTCCTTCTCCGCTCCCACAGCTGAGCTGGGTGCAAGTTCGACCTTGACATTGGTGTCAATTATAGCAAAAGCAGGGGAAAGGGATACTTGGAAGGCACAGAGGCCAAGAGAGATTGAACAGTAATGACAGCATGATGCGTCAGGAATGAGGACCAGTGTCATTTTGGGGGCTTCTGGGTGTAACAACTTTCCAGCATTAGCTTAGGGAATACTGTCCTGCAACCCTGAGGACAGGGAGAAGGTGCAAGTACAAAGAGACACAGGCTGGCTTAGAAGTACCTGAAAAGCAGCAGCAGTCTTGCAGGCTGAGAAGTCCTGGTTTAGGACCAAGCATTGCACCTTTGAGGGCTAGCTTTGTGGCAGAAAACAGATGGAATACAGGGAAGTGGCAGCAAATATTGTTTCCCCCAGAGAAAGGGGGGACAGCCCCATAGACTGGAGCATTGGCAGCTGTCCCAGATTGGGTATGAGACATGTGTGAGATGAGGAGAAGTCCTTTCCTCTCTGGTGGGACCAGCTGCCTGCATGTTTTATGAGCTGATCAGGTTCATATGCAACATCCATTTTGTGGCCTAAGTCTGTGAGCCTCACCTGTCCTCTCTGCAGGGTCCGAGTGAGCCAGGATGGACAATTCCTTCACTACGTCTTTCCATACCAGTTCCTGGACTCTCCAGAATGGGAGTCGCTGCGACCCTCTGAGGAAGGAACTTTCCAGGTAACCCTGCGTGGCCCTGTAGCAGCCCAACCTCGCTCCTTGCCACTTTGTTGTGTGCCTGAGACAGGGATGGAGGGGGCTTATCTCACCATTCAAAACTAACCAGGAATGCTTTCCTCCCCCTCCCCATGGATTAGCTAGCACAGGATGGTGCGATCGGCTGTGTTATCTTTTTTTTTCTTCCTTCCTCCAAAGACCTCAGTGCATGCTCCTACTACCAGCTGACAGCGGGGAGGGTGGAGCGTGGTGCCCCTTCCAGGGGGGAATGCTATCTCATGGGTATGGGATTGCTGTCTCACTTTCATCACAGGGGTCCCTAGTACCTGTACTGATGCCTTTGCTCTGCATGCCACTAGCAGGGTGCACTAGGATAGCAGCCATGGCAATATGCAGCAGTGAAGTAAATCCATAAATATCCCGTTCCTCCCAGAAGTTTCTGATGGTGATGTGTTGGGGTAGAGAAGCAGAAAGGGTGATTCACACCCGAATATGGTTCTCTCTGAGCAGAAGAATCCCTTGCTGAGAGATCAGACCAATTTTTATTTGCAGCAACTGAAAGGATTTTGCCTTTGCTGTCAACACCCCACCGTATTTGCTTGGCTTTCCTTCTGGAAGAAATTACTTAAGCCCACATCTCTCTGCCTTTAACTCACATCCCAGGACAGTCTGATCCTTGTCAGAATGTCAATCTAGAATATGTCAGTTAGGGCATATGAGGAGGGAGTTTGCTAATCCCTTGGGAGCATGGGGCAGTGAATTATGATGCTTTCTTATGAGGGCAGCCACGTTCAGACTTAAATCTGCTTTCCTTGGGCTTGAATTTGGCCCATGCACTGTGTGAATGGGTCATGGTAGTCGCTCCTGAAAGCTATGCCATGGCCAGTGATTACACTCTTGCACAAGGAGCAGTTTCAGGAGATGGCTGACCGTGTGACTGTGGCACAGGGCTACTGCTCGTGAGCAGAAATAGGGATGTTGGGCCAAGATAACAAAGTAGACAAGGGAAACATCAGCATGGCTGTACTAGGGGTGGGGGTATCTCATGTTTTGCACAGGCTACAACCTGGCAGCAGATTGCTGATAGCTCCTGGATTGTATTTGCCTAAGATTCAAGCAGAGAGAACGACGGCTGCCTGGTGCTCCAGGTAGGGAAATGGCCATCTGGATGGCATGCAACCTGCAATGACATCTGCAGCATTTTCTGAGCTAATTTCTGTGGAACTGAATGTTCCCAGACCCTCCTGAGTGTCTTTATCTGTGATGTGTGAGACAGTTCAGGAGCAAGCTCATGCCAGGCTGCACCAGCCCTGCCAGCACCACACTCTTGGCTCCTCTCCTGTTCTGTGAGACTGGGCTGGTCAGGGAGGTCAACTGCGCCTGGTACCAGGGTAGGGAGGTAGCGTCCTAGGTGGGGAAAGCCTGCAGCCAGGTGCTGGAAATGCCTAACCGTGTCTGTTTACTGAAGAGCATGAAGAAGTAACAGCTTGTGTGAGACCAGCATTCAGCAGGTGAGACTTGACCAGTCCATGTTCCTGGCAGGACATTACTCTTGATGGCCGTGCTTAGCCATGGTGATGTGCTGCTTTTGGCAGTTATTTAACCCACTAGTTTCTCTTACTTAATAAAACTCGGTGGCATATCTCAACCTTATTCCTAGCATCACAAACATTTGTTTAAAAAAGTGCATGTTTGACTCTGGGACTTTGCTGGAGGAGGACATGGAAGGTTTTTCTTGCCCATGTTTTCCCCATGGCTCTCTGGATTGAGCAGTTTCAGTCCTGAGCACGCTGAAAAATGGCAGAAGCGTGACTCAATCTACAAAGAGAGGCAGTTTCCTTGAGCTTTCTCCTTTGGCTGTGTCTTCTTCCCTCAGGACTGCTGTCTGCCAGTGTTTGAAGGAGTTGGGTTTTAGGGCTGGCACTTTCTCCCAGAAGGCTGAATTATGGGCTCTGCCGATGCTGGAGCACTTCTGTCATGACTGAAATCTGCTGTGCTGCTCTGGTTAGGAAGCAGGTTTTCTTATTACATCTCAATCCCTCACAAAAAGCAGAGGCTTTCAATTAGTGTGCCAGCAATTTGTTAGGAAAATTAGATTTTGGTCTTTTCAGTTTCTGTGTGACCCTTGCTCTCACTCGCCTTGGCCTAGGAACCTTCTCAGGTTTTGTCTCCTATATTTCTTTCATAAGGCAGCTGCTTGCATGGCAGTGGCATTAAATATCAAACCCAAGGACACACACATGCAGCTGAGCTGTGTTCAGCTTCCCAGTGGCCCTCTGCCATGGTGACTGGCCAAGGAGACCCCTGGATATAGAGTGAAAGGGAGCCCCCAGGATATTTTGGCTCTGGCACTTTTCACATGCCAGTGTCTCCATTACACTTGGGTATTCTTCTTTGGCCCAAGGCAATCTGACCCTTCCTGTGCTTCTTATCTTTTATTATTATTGTTAAATTTTTATATTACAATATACAGTCACGTGTTGTATAATGTTATTTATTATTAATAGTCTGGTCTTACAGCTAGGGGGAGAAATGTCTCTGTTCGCATTGGCAAAACCCAAAGCAAAAGGAAATATTCTCTAAAATCAACCCAATAAAACCTTGAGTGAGTTCCCTACCTACACACAAACACAGTAAACCCCTTTTATTTCCTCTCTCACAGAACTGTGCTGTGCATCCTTCAAGGCCATTCAGCCCTACAGCACCTGGCAGAGCTGGGATCCAGACAGGATGTCCCTCTGGCGCAGGGTGACCAAGGAAGTCTTCCAAATGCCCCTTCCCATACTCAGGCCCTTTTTTGAGAAGAGGGTGTGCAATTTAGTGGCAGGAGAGGGTGGCAGCCTGTTGCAGGGCTACTGACTGGTGACTTGGGCCAGCTGGGCACACAGAAACACTTCCCTCCATAACGTTTCTGCAAAGGGATAAAGCCAGCTGTGCCACCCCACTCATTGCTCAGGTGTCAACAGGGAGCATCATCTGAAAGTGAGAGGGAGGAATGTAGCTCATCAGGGGGCTAGATTAAGGAAGGACATGCTGCTAATTAAATAGGAAAATCTGTTCTCTGGTTCCTTGGGAAGAGGAAGCAGAGGCGGGTAAGGATTTATCCTATCATTTGGTTTGGGCTATCTGGCTCTCCAGCCCCGCCACCTCCAAGGAGAGCAGGCATCAAAGGGACAGGGGTCCTTCACTGGAGAGAAGCACACAGCCCCAGGGTGGGTGACCCCTACCCAGGTTGTAGGGCTTACCCTGCTCCCTCCCTGCCCCACAGGTCACGCTGACGGCTGAGACTGACTGCAGCTTCATCACCTGGCCGAGGAAGAAGCTGTATCTCCTCCTGAGGAAGGACCGCTATGTTGCCCGGCTCTTCTCCTCCCACCTGGGTTACGACATCTCAGAGAAGCTCTACTCCCTCAACGAGAAGCTCTTTGCCAAGTTCGGTCTTCGCTTTGACATCCGCTTGCCCAGCCTCTACCATGTCCTCGGGCCAGCCTCCTCCGAGGGGGAGCCAGAGGACTGCGAGGAGCCACCACCTACCTCTGACCAGGCTGGTGCCTCTGACCAGGCTGGTGCCTCTGAGCCCCCTCCGCAGCCACCACCACCACCACCACCAGCTCTACGCTCCCGAGCATCCCAGCCTGACAGTGACCTGCTGGGTGAGGACTCCACCAGTCTTGTCTTGGAAGATTTTGCTGAGTTGCCGGGGTCTTTTATGGACTATGTAAGCGAAGGGGAGTATATGAAGTGAGGGCACTCCTGGCATGGGCACGCCTCACCCTGTGTGGGACCCCTGCGTAAGTACCCAATTGCAGAAGCAAGTCCTTCCTGTGATGCAACTGCCTGGGCAGAGTGGTGGCCCCCAGCTTCTCACCCTCGTTTGCCATGGATTTGCTCTTCCACAGCATTTTTTTGCCTGCTGCCCCAAGGAATCCCGGGAGGTGGGCTCCAGCTGTGTGATTTCTTAAGAAAAAGCAGCAGGGTATAGGCTTGACTCCAGGCATCAGCTGCACCATGGGGTGGAAGGGCCAGTAACCTGGCTGTAGGAAACTCTTCCCTGCCCTGTCCCCTTTCCAGCCCTCAGGGGAGGCAGAAAAACTGAAACAGTGTCCAGGCTGGTGGGTGATACATGAGCACCCACAGAGACCCCCCCAAGCTTCTACCTGGCTCACCAGGAGGTAGAGCTGTGCCTGGAGATACTCCAGTATTGAGCTGAGGAAGACATCTGCATGTGAGAGACCAGACAACCCAGGAGATGCTGACAGGGGTAGAAACAGCTCCAGGGTTTACAGCAGATTGATAGTGGGGAGTTGCTGTACTCCTTGCAAGTGCTCTATCTGAGCAGGGGGAGAAAGCTCAGAGTCCTTCCTCCCCGTGCCCACCACAGCTTATCCCAGGGTTTGCTCTGTCCTCCTTGTTGCTGCTGAGCTTTGGCTCAGCCTGATCAGTAAGCTATTGAAGAGACTGCCCTGTGTGGTATAGCTCTTGCCTCCAATGACCCTGGGTAGACTGACAGGCTAAACATTGTTTTAACATACCCCAAACGCTGCTTTGTGGTGAGTGGGAATGAGATAGTCTCTTCCAAAATGCCATCTCTTTACCCTGCAGGGGAAAAATTCCTGGGCCTGGTGGATATTGGGACAGAGGAGCAATGTAGGCAAACAGAAATAGACGGGAGGGTGGCTCATGCTTGCAATTCAGATCCAAGTGGCCAAGAGAGAAATTCCACACAGAGCTACTTTTAGCCAGCCACTACTGCACGCCAGCTGCTGCACACCAGCTGCAGACCCCAAAAATCTGCATTCCCGCCACTGCCCCATAATAGCTGCTTTCTCGCATCCAGCTGCCTGACACCAAGCCTGGGACTGGGATTTCTGTCCTAGAAGTGACCACTGTGTGTATCCCAGTTGGGTCTGCGTGGCATGGAGGAAGTTGCAGCGCTGGGCTGCAGCTGGGGAGAACATTTTCCAGCAGGCATCTTTGAACATGGTGCACCCTGGTCTTCCCTGTGCCTTGCTTCTGGGTTGCAAACGCTTGGGCTGTGGATTAACTGGCAGGGAGCATGAAGCAGGACACAGTGACTCCAGGCACGAGCCCTGCAGTAATCTTCCCTACCCTGCAGTGCTTGTGCACAAGCATCACCGCTCTGATGGTAAGGGGACTGTTCTTCCTAGGTGCTCTAAATGAAAAGGTTGTCTGGGTCAGACAGCACTTGCTATTTGCAGTAGGTCTCTGGTGAAAGAAGCCTTTTTTTGCTGTTTCATCCAGTTGCTGTTCTTAGTTTTTGAAAACAGTGGAACTGGAAGATCTTCCTGTTTTGTACACTCCTGCTTTGAGTTGAGCCGTGTGCCTGTTCCTGTAGTGCTTCCATGCCTCTAAACTTAAAATCTGGGATATGAAGAAACTGGCCAGGGAAGGAACAAGTGTGTTTAGGTTTGCCTGAATTAGATGAAAAGTCAGCAAGAGTTTTGCTTAGGTTTTGGGGTGGTTTTTTTTGTTTGTTTGTTTTCTTTTAAAGGCAGAGAGAAAAAAAGAAAAAAAATCCTTCTTTGTTTTCTAGCTTAGAAGTCCTAGGAATGTGAAGTCCCTGGCTTTGCTGGTAGACTGCTGGAGATATGAATTTGCCGCTTTTTCAGTCCTTACTTGGAGAGGCAGGAACACTGAATCACTTATGAGAGTGCCATCCTCCCAACTGTCAGGCATGTCTGTTGAATAGATGCAATCAAACATTAATGCAGTTAGTGTTGTAAACATGGTGAAGTCACTTTGTCTATGCTTTGCTTGTATTTTGTCTTCTCAGAAGAAGGATATCCATTCTCAGGTCATTGGCAGAATTCTTCTGGTTGATCCAGCTCAATAAAATCAGAATTTCAAATGCAGTTATACAAGGAAGGAGGCGAGGAACACTGTAGCTTTTTTTGAATCATTTCCACCTAGTTTTGGTAATGAGTCAATGCTGTGAACATACACGCAAGAGATGTGTGTGTATGTGTGTGTTGGGGAAAGTTTGTGCTACGGAGCACAAAGCTGTTCTTTCTTTCACACAATCTTTGTAAAACATGATGGAAGTTGGAAGCTTCTGTCTTTCTAGATCTTGTAAATGAGGCAGTATCAAGGTGTGCTGATAATTGCAGTAGGGACCTGTGATAAAAGCCCAAATGTTTCAGAGGGGTGGGAGAGAAGGATGATCTTCCTTGTCTGCCAGTCTGGGAGACAACAGCCAGTGCGGTATTTTATTTTGTAGGTACTTAGAGAAGAAAACACAAACTCTGTTTATGTGTGTCCATAACAGTGGAATGAGCACTTCCTTGTTACTCCGCTCACTGCTCGAGTATCCTAATCACACCATGTCCCAGAAGCACAACAGCCACTCTCACATCTGGACAGTATTCCACAGCAACGTGAGCACCTAACCACAAAAATTAGTGGCACAGATGGGCTGCAGTTTTCCTTTCTGGCCAGGCACTTGTCACAGCTCAGTGGATGATCTGAGCTAGCCTGCTATGGCCCAGGGAAAACACTTTAATAACTTTTCCCTTAGAAGTAGTGAAAGCATCCATAGTAAACAGGGATGTTCCCTGCAGTGTCATTGTTCAAAGTAAGTGATAGCTGTGGTCCCAGAAGTCAGACCTCCCCTGGGGCTTTCCCCAGGTCTGTCCTCTTGTCTCCTTCCCCAGCAACTGCCAACCTGTGTAATCACCTTCCAGCTCTCTAAATTCCCCATGTTGAAGTGCTGCTGTGGATCACGTTCCTTTTCATTTTCTGTCACTGCAACGGCCTCCTTGCTATGCCACAGTACAGGAGGCAATTCTTGAATGCCCAAAGTGCTGTGAAGATCATGCAGAACAAAATATTCCTGGGACGTATATTGGCCTACTGTTCTTATCATCTAGTTCCTTGAGAAAGTTTCTAGTCTGCTTACAAGCACGACAGACTACAATATCCTACTCATGAGCGCATTCTGTTTCTGAGAGATATTTCAGTAACTTACAGGCTGCCTGTTTAAAAGAGGCAAGTTCAAAGGTTCTGTTAAAAACTTGATTTAACAACATACTGTTGTACAGCTCAATGCTCTGTAGCAAACTAAGCTCTTTTCTTTGCATGGAATTTGAAGCAACCAAAAGCCACCTGCTTTTTCCCCCTTTCACATCACATTTGCTCTAGTTTGTTGCTATCAAGTGCTTGTGAGATGTGAAGCTGCTGCTTCTTAGTTTTGTACAGTTACATCCTGGGGCTGGCTTTCTATTTGGTGGGTGAGGTGGATGGATGGATGCTTGATGGCCTGTAGCTTGGTATCTAAGTAGGAATTGTTTTACACCTGCTTTGAGAGCAAAATCAAAGGAGCTGTGGGCTTTGTTTCACTGATGTCACAGAAGGTGCTTTGGAGGGGCTCGTTTTTGCTGTCTCAGGATGGGTGGGTAACCCCATTTTCTGATTTATCACATGTTGAAGAACTACATAGTTTTGCATGCTAGTTTAAGAGGGGAGAAGGATAGATAACCATGAGCTCCATTAAGTTTGTATCTTGGAAAAGTTTGGAAGTAAGAATTATTCCTGTGATAATAATGGTACTCTCTCTCTCTCTCTCTCCCACCCCTCTCATCTTCCTTCCCTTTCTGTTGCTTTCCTTCTGCAGCTTCTGGAAACCTCCAGAGTGACCCCCACCCTCTCTGCAAAGGACGAGCCCCTCTGGCTCCCACTCAGACCCCCGAACTCTAGGGAACAAGAGAGCATATGCTCACACAGGTTTCTGACCAGAGAGACACTTTAGCAAGCACTGAGACGTCTGCCTGCAGACATACACACTCAGGAGCACGTGAACCACACGCGTGAGGCTGTAGTGTGACACTCCAGCACCTCCCATCCCATGGTTGTTCACCAGAGCTGCCTGCCCCAGTGTGCTTCCTCGGCTTGTTTTCTATCCCTGCCTCTCTGAGGCATGCCGGCAGCTCCAATACCAAGGTACACTGATATCTCTGCAAGCGATACTAGCCTGCTCACAGAATCTCTGTTCCCTTTGATTTAATGATTCCCATTAAAGTCGGAGATTAAATTACTGGTGTTTGAGGATTTGGAGAGGGAGGTAGCTCTGTTTGAAAGGCTTGAGGCAATCTCA